ATGATTTCTTCAACTTGCACACCTTATGTTCATTACCGGGCATAAAAAACCCTTCAGGCTGTTTCATGTAAATTTCCTCATCTAAGTCACCATTCAAGAATGCACTTTTCACATCCATTTGGTGAATCACAAGATTATGTATAGCTACAAGAGTTAACAATAATCTAATAGTGGAAATTCTAGCAACATGAGCATAAGTATCAAAGAAGTCAATACCTTCTTTTTGCCTAAAGCCTTCGATAACTAATCTGACTTTATATTATCAATTGTGCCATCCACCTTCATTTTCCTTTTGAGGATCCAATTACTTCCCAATGCCTTGCAACCAGGAGGTAAATTTGACAATACCTAAGTATTGTTGTGCATGATAGAATCAATCTCATCCTGAATTGTTTCTTTCCAGAAATGAACATCCCTAGATGCCATAGCTTCACTAAAAGTCTTTGGATCCTCCTTAATATTAAAACAATATTGATGTTGACATATAGTCTCATTCCTAGTTCCTTCAACTAGATAAAGTTGAAAATCAGATCCAAAAGACTTAACTTTTCTAGCTCTTGTGCTTTTCCTAGGTTCAGGTACAAAACTTGTACCACCAGAAACATCTTCAGCTTGATTAGTACTCTTGCTAGAAGATTTATGAATCATGTCCCTTGGTCTAGGTATAGATGTAAATCTTTCTTCATCAAAGTTTAAGATAATATGTATTATGGATTATGGATGTATGGATATGGTTAAGAATACATAGTTTTTATAGTTTTCAATAACTAATGAAATATCGATGGCTACCGGGAGAAATCTCATTTTGGTTTTAACCTTCTTATATTATCATTATTATGGAGATTAGAATGTCATGCAACGTAAACAAACGCTTCAGTTTAGACAAAATACTAAACAACCCCTAAATTTAAAAATAATATCAAAGCCCTTGAATACAATTTTTTTTAACAAAAACACCATTTTTTCCGGTATCGAAACCTATATTGGTTCTTTTCAGTTCTATTCGGTTCCATAGCAAATTATAAATGTTTTTTTTCGGTCTTATCCGATTAATTTTCGAATCTTAGAAAATATTGAGATTGATTATTAATGAAAATTTAACACCATCATTAAGTGAAGTCCATGATAAGAAATATGATTGCATAAAATTTATAAAAGAGGTGGCTATACGAAAATTAACCTCTGCAACATAAGTTAACTTTCCTATAGCCATATGTTTTATGAATTTTATGCAATTATATTTCTTGTCATGGACTTCACTTAATGATTATGTTATATTTTCACAAACAATCAATCTCATTATTTCTAGGATTCGAAATTAGCCAAGAGTTTTTGTAGCTTATTTTAGAGCTGACAAAAATCGACACAACCCACCAAACTAAACCGAACCTAACCCAAAGTTAGCAGGTTGGGTTGAGATTTTCAACCCATTTAAGTTAAATGGATCAACCCGTCTAACTCATTTAATTAAATAGGTTGGGTCGGGTAAAAATTATCAACCCGTTTTCAACCCACCAACCCATTTAACTTTAATTTATATTTAATTTAATAATTATTTAAATATTATCATATATTAATCTAAGTATTAGTTTATAAATTACAATGTTCGTATTATTATTTATGTTTTAAAAAATGGAATCCTAATTCCTATCTTTTTTTCTTAGCATCGACAACACTAGTCACTCTCCAAAATCACTTAGAAATTACATATCTTTAATGTTATTTGAACAATTTCTTTGTATATGTGATTTGGGATTGTGCTTTTGTCATACTTTGAAGTTTTATTTAAGTCTAACTATTTCAATGGCGTAATCTTTAGTTAATTAATTAATTTATATTTATTTTAAATGGGTCAATCCAAGTTTAACCCATTTATTTAATAGATTGGGTTGAAAACTACGTAACCATGTCAACCCGATGACAACCCATTTATCTGAAAGGTTGAGTTGGTTTGGAAATATCAACCTACTTAAATAAACAAGTTGAGTTTGGTTGAAATCTTCAACTCAATTAATAAATAGATTGAATCCGAATCCAACTCAGATCGATCCATTGCCCCAGGTCTAGTTTATTTTATTTATTCCTTACACATATTTGCAAAATTTCGTGCAAATGGCGACGAGACACCATTTTCCGGTTCTTTTCACTAAACTTATGGCTTTTTATAAAATATAAAGACCATTTTTATAATTTTGTTTGATAATCATATATTTATAACAAAATGTTAAATCTTAGCGACAAAATGTTAAATCTTAAAATTGTTAACAACCATCAATTGGACTCTCCTTAACATATCCCCTCAAATGCTTCCATTTTATTGTGGCCCGCCGTTCTAAAAAGTTATCTTAAAATATCTAATCAAATGACGGAATGAGCACAATTATTACACAATGCATTGCTCTCTCGCAGATACAATATTGGCCAAAATATAAATATCTTAATGGTCCCGAATGTAGATATATGATCAGTGGACAAAATAATTTTTATTTTGTTGAGGGAATGGACATTTAAGGGTCATGGTCTGGGTTATATCTCATGGGACACTTCCTTAAAATTCACTAATGAAAATCACCTACAAATCTAAAATACAACCTTGTTGTTGTGAAGTCTGGGACGTTATAATCAGGGTGTGGGGCAACTGCCCCCGCTGAAGTTTTGTTATTATGCCACATTAATCACAATCAATAAGAAATGACAAATGAGCAGCTGTAAAGACGTAGACAAAGCCTTCCTAGTTTTCTCCAAAACAAAGCTCATTTTACTATATTCCATATTCCAGCGACGTGGGACAAACAGTGACGAATCTAGACCAAAAAATCATGTTGTTCCCAAATTAAGTGAAGCCAATAAAAAAAATTCAACAACACTTGTCTGGGGTCGGGTCGGGTCGTGTACCTTAAAAAACTGGACGAATCAGTTCAACTTGTTAAAACCGATCAGACACCACCGATTAAAATTTTTAACAAAACGACTGAAATATAAATGAAAAAAGCAGTACGTTTTTAATGAAAAACTAGTTGATTATTAGTTCATTGATAAAACCGTGAACGGAGAGTGAGAGTCTTTAGTATGTGGGCTTCTTTTTATTACAACAATTTATTTATTTATTGATATTTTGAGAGTGCCGATTAAGCGTGGTTAATTTTTTGTTATCAATCCCATAATTTAAAATAACAAATTGATCCTAATAACTTATTTTTTTTCTTCTTTTAAAATGATTTTTTAAGACATTTTTTTAAAAAAACAAACTCAAGGTAGGTTTCTTATTTTTTCTAAGGTAGTTCCTAATTTTTATACAATATATGTTGTAAATAAAATTGAAAATTTAGGTAGGTCCTAGGTCCTAGGACCTACCTTAGGCTAAGAGGAGTGGTGACACTCTTGGCACCTTGCCACATAAGCATTTTAAATGCCACATCATTTTTCTCCTTTTAATGTTGGTGATTTTATCACCAAATATATTTTAGTGTAATGGATTTAACAAGTGTTTCAAGAATAATATTTTAGTTATAATACAAGTTAGGAGGTGCGGGAGTGCACATTTGTATTTACTAAATATTATTAGTACCGAACCCTAAGACATTACAAGGTCTAATTTATCATTCTTGAAAGACATTACAAGGTTTTAATTTGTAATTCTTAAAAGATGAAAACTGTTCTGACTTATCCGTTGATTGGATAAGTCTGTAAAAAACGACTATTGAAACACGCAGAAACATAAAACGATTTTCACTTCATCTTCTTCAATTGATTCTGATTTTTATGCCTAAAATCGGAATTGCAGCATCATGAATTATCCCAAGTTTGAATTTCGTGGTACCCAAGGCATATAGGTTCGAAATATCAAACAAAGAAAGTGTTTACACGATTCCTGTTTGTTATCCAGATTTCCCATAACCCTATTTCGAATTCCCCAACATTTAACACCCACATTTAACATATGGTAAGGAGTGGTAACACTCTTAGCACTCAACTTTTTGTATTTTCTTTTTTATAATTTAATTTAATTTCTATATTTTAATAAATATATTTTTTGTATTTACTTTTTGTAATTTAATTTAATTACTTTATTTTAATAAACAAATATTTTTTTATTTAATATAAAATAATATAGTAGGGAGTGGTAACACTCCTAGCACTTTTTTTTTCTTTTTTTAATTTAATTAAATTACTTTATTTTTAATATAAATTGTTAAATAAGTTGTTGAAATTAAATTCTAACGATTAAATTCAATTGAATTAGCAATGGTTTTCACATTTTTTTATTAGTATTAAATATATTAATTGTTTAGGAAATTGAAAAAAGTTAGGTGGTAAGCCTGAATTACGTGTATGCATGAAATTGGCTTGACATTCATTAAAAATACCATTTATTAATTACTAGAAACTACAAACAAAAGTTGAACGGTTTGTAACCTCCAATTCAATTCAGTCAACATTTTTGCATTCCAGTCAAACACCCATGGACCAATCACCTTGCACAAAAGTTTGTCTTCCCTCTCGCCAAATTCTTAACGACATTCATATAGCGAGCCCCCTAGTGAGTGCTAGGGGGCGGTGTTCATCAACCCATAACGAGCTTGACGAGTTGTTTTAGCGAGACCACTCCGTCAGGGCCGGTTGGGAGAATTTGAAGGCCTTGTGCAATTTAAGAAAAAAAGGCCCTAAAACTTGAAAATTTAAAAACAATTTACTTAAAAACAAGTTAAGCAAAACATTTTAATATTTTAGTTTTTAATTGCAAAATACATAAATTAAAGGGAATTTTACATTTATATCCTTCTAAGCTATAAATATTACTTCTATATCCTTATAAACTTCAATATTGCATGTATATTCTTTTAAAAATATAAAAATTACATCTATACCCAAATCCATTTTTTAATTATAATTATATCAATTTTATATTTAGAAAATTATATAAAAATAAAAACTACATATAAGTTTACCAAAATACCCCTTTTGGTTTTGACATTAAACGAGTATCTATTTTATCTTCAATGGGGCCTCTTCTTCATTACTTCAAGTCTTCGATATCTATTCAATCGCTTAATAAACACCGGCGACCTCACCTTCTTCTCACTGACACCACAACCCGTAAACGACAGTGCCCCCTTCGTTCCATGCTACTTCAAGAAACCAGTACACCGCCACTCCTCACCATTGTGACCTAGGTATATCCTCCCCTTTCACGACAAAAACAACGTCATCCACAAATTCCCCCTCGTCTTCTCCATGACAATTTAAGGTCTGATTCTCTTCCGTCTTCTTTTATTCTAGGGTTATGCTACGGAGATGCCCTTAATAGTTTAAAGTTTAGTGTGGATTTGATTAGTTTGTAGATTACCATAGTACGCATAGAAAGTAATTGTTTCGTGTTCTATGTTTAGTATTTGCGAATTGGAGTCTTCTGTTGCAATTTCTTAATTCTTCTTGGTATTTTCTTATTTTATATGTAGAAGTTTACATGTTGCTTCTTAAGTGCAACCTGTTTCGAAAGAGAGTTCTAATCATGCAGAATATTTTACACAAGTCGTAAATGTGGGGAGGCATTATCTCAGTGATAACTATCAGCTTTCATTCAGGCTGTTCAAAGCTTCTCTTTTCCTATCTGTTATAGCAACCATAATCACTCTTTCATAAATCTGTCAGCTATCTGTAAAGGATTTGATCGTTTGTTGTTTAGCGTTTCTACCAACTGGATGGGGACTGATACTAGTAAGCAAGCTCTCTTGATTTTGAATCAAAATCTTGATCTTTTTTTTCGTGAAGTAAAAGTAACCATTTTTTCTTCGTTACTAGGTTGGTCAAGCATTCAGGCGATTGACTCAGTGCACGGTTTTGTGGAAATTCACATCACTTTTAGTTATTCAATCACAGGTTCCAAGGTCTTATCATAAGTCATTAGCAGTATCAAGTTGCTACTTTGGAAAATCTCAGCAACAAAAGGCAAACAAAGGCTTTCGAAGTACATTGCTATTTTGGAAACACCACTACAACTAGACTGTTATTTTAGTCTGTTTTCGACCTTGTTTCTTATGGCTTTTGTCTATGTTAATCTAAATTTTGTACCTTCTTGTTTTCTCTGTATTTTAACTTTCCAAGCGTCCTGCTTGTTTTCATATTTAATAGATTTTAGTTATAACATAATTCAGTTGTACAATTTATAGTTGAAAACTAAAAAAAATACTTCAAACAAACATTGTGTGAAAATATTGTTCAACATTTTGAGCAGCATCTATGGAGAAGAGGTGGAGACTAAATTCTGTTTTGTGAATCAAAATTAATCCAATGTAGATTCATAATTGATCGAATGCGTAGTTAATCTAGTGCAAAATAAATTACTTCAAATAATATGACAAAGATGACTTGTTAGGAAGAAGAAGAGGCAGCTATAGCCATATATGGAGAAGAAATTCTGTTTTGTGAACCAAAGTTAATCCAATGCAATACATAACTGATCAAATGCAAAGTTAATCTAATCAGATTAAAATTAATTCAAAGAAGATTACCTGTTGTGATGAGGATGTGAAAATGACTAGGTATGGAGACAGAGTACGTGATCAAGAAGATGATAAATTGATTGCGCCGATTTAAGGGAAGGATACGTAATCTAATATGTCGAGTGATTTAATTTTGGATTTAATTATGAAAGGGTATATTGGTAAACTAATATATACTTCTGAATATTATATAAATAATTTAATATAAAAATGATATAATTATAATTAAAAAATGGATTTGGATATAGATGTAATTTTTATATTTTTAAAAGGATGTACACGTAATATTGAAGTTTATAAGGATATAAAAGTAATATTTATAGTTTAGAAGGATATAATGTAAAATTCCCTAAATTAAAATATCATTCAAAATAATACAAAAAAATACTTTTACTTAAAAACAGCCATCCTTCTAATATTTGTTGAAAAAAACTTTTCTATAATATATTCATAAGTAACTTTATCCAAAAGGTTTCTCTCAATCGTCATCAAAGCCAATCCATTAAGCCGTTCTTGAGTCATTGTAGATCGCAAGTAGGACTTCAAAATCTTCAATTTGGAAAAACTTCTTTCTGCAGATGCAACTGTAACAGGAATAGTCAACAAAATTCTATATGCAATAGTTGTATTAGGAAAACAATCAACTCGTTTTAAAAACTTGAGAATATCAATTGATAGACATTTTTTCCTTAGGCAAAAGATGTAAAGGTAATTTTAACTCAACATATAGGTCATTTCCATCGATATCTGATTGTTCATCTTTCTTGAGTGAACTTTCAAGAGATTTACAACAACACTTTAGGGTCATATCATCTAAGGAAAGTAACTTTTCTGAATTAAACAAAAAACCAAATATATTATCATATTGTTGATATTGTTCAAATCTTGTAGTTAGAGAAGTAATTGCTTGATCAACAATATATATAAAATAAATTACCCTAAAAGACTCTTGTTCAGATTGTGAAACACTAGAAGAATTATCATTTGAAATCTCATCAAAGTGTTTTTTTCTTTTATATTCACGCATTTGAGGAAATTTTGGATCAATTTCCATTTCCAAGGCAATTTATTTTGCAGTTTGTAAAGCATTTAAAAAACCAATTTCTCTATATTCCTTAAAAAAAGAAATCAACCCATTTATTTTTTCTATAGCAACATCAATAAGCATATCTTTTGATTGCAATTGTTTGCTAATTAAATTAACGATATTTAATATTTCATACCAAATTACTAGTGTCAATATAAACTCAAATTTACCAAGTTCATTATTTGCTAAGGAATTAGCTTCACTACTTATTTTTTGGATCATTATCACTTTTAGCTACTTGTAATAAAGCTTTTTGCATATCAAAAATTTGAAATCTTATAGCTTTAACACTATCGACACGACTCTCCCAACGAGTTGATGACAAAGATTTAGGAGTTAACCCTTTCACATTATCTTTTAATATTTTCCATCTCTTAGTAGAATTGGCAAATATTGTGTAGATTCGTTGTATTGTTCCAAAAAAATCTTTAGCTTTACCACAAGTCATAGCCATATCACACAAAGCTAAATTTAAACTATGACAACCACAAGGAGTATAAAAAGCTCTTGAATTTATATCTAAAATCCTTTTTCGCACTCCTTGATCTTTTCCTTTCATATTTGATCCATTGTTATAGCCTTGTCCACGCACATTATTTAATGTCAAGATCAAGCAAATTTAATTCATTTTGTAAAACATCAAAAAGTCCTTGTCCGGTTGTATCATTTACATCTAAAGAACCTAAAAAAGATTCTTCAATGTAAACACAACTTGACGAGACATCCACATATCTTAAAATTATAGTCATTATGTCGGGAGTACAATCAAGTATTACCAAAAAATATTTTGCTTTTTTTATTTTTTTAATAATCATAGACTTTATTTCGGAAGAAAGCAAAAGTATTAATTCATTTTGTATACTATGCCCAAGATAATGTTTATGCATACGAATTTCATTTGTAATACGTTGAACATGATCATAAGAAACCATGTCAAACTCATCCAACATTTCAATTAAGCCTAAAAAATTTCCATTGTTATTTTCATACAATTTCTCATTACTACCACGAAATGCTAGATTGTATTTAGCAAGAAATTTCACAATAGCAATAATTCTCAACAAAACGTTTCTCCAATGAACTTTTTCTTTTTCTAATTGTTTTTGAGCCGCATTATCAATAGTTTTATTTTTTTCTAATCTTAGACGCAATTCATACCAAGTATTTATATTTTTTTACATGTTCCATACTAGTTTCATGCTCTTTAATTCTAGTATTAAGATGTATCCAATCCCCAAAACCCTCATTTGCTAATTGACCCTTTCCACACCCTTTTTGAAAACTTTTACAACAAAAACAAAATATTTTATCAATTTCTTTAGAATAAACAAGCCAATCCCTATCACATTTTTCTCCATTTGGTAAAGTTTTAACAAAATATGTTGCAGAAAATCTCATTAAGTATTTATCTTTAGGACCTTTTATAACAGATAAATCTCTTTTAGGACCATTTAATGCTAAAATATTTATCATATTAGAATCAAGAGCATCCCAATTTCTTGGATCAAATATATCAAATGTGTGAAAATCATCGACATTATCACTAACATCAACATTATCATTACCAACTTCATTAATATTAGCATGATCCATATTAGCATCAACATCAATATTAGTATCATTAACAGTTTCGTTTTCACTTTCTTGAAAGTTTGGTGTTTGTTTCATAATAAACTTATGCATAGACCCCCTTTTTGTTTTTTATTATCTTCTTCAATTTTTTGTTTTTTTTACGTTTTTCATATCTAGATTCATATTTTTTAAATCTAGGAGGCATCCTAAATTAGAGAAAGGAAAGAAACAACCTTATTTTCGATTTGGGGATTTCTTCTTGGTTCTTGATTTTCAAACCCAAGTAGTAAAGTATAACACAACTGGAACAGAAAAAAAAACATAAATAAAATCAACAAATTATATTACATTGACAGACATTCAATCAGAAAACAAATAAGAAAGAATGAAACAAAATCAGATTTTTGTGTACCTTAAAAAATCAGAAACTGATTTGTTTGCCCTTTAAATAATCAAATTTTTCGAAAAGCCTTTGAGAAAGAAAAATAAGAAACATATCAGAACTTAGAATTACAAATCATAACCAAAAACAATAAGGGAAAAAACGAATTTGATTTGTTTTTACCTTTAAAAATCAGAAACTGATTTCTAATTCCTGATAGTGATTTTTGAAGTTGATAATTTTTGAAAAAACTGCAAGTTTAAACAGAAAACAACCAAAAAGATTATAAGAAACATATCATGATATCAAGTATTCAGAACAACAAACATAAACAAAAAATGAAAAAAAAAAACGAATCTGATTTACATTTGTTTTTACCTTGAAATATCAGAAATTGATTTCCTGGTCTGATTTTTGAAGTTGATTTGTGTCTCACTTCTGGTCCCTTTTGGTTTCAAAGTTGAATTGTGTGAAAAATCTGCACTTAAAAAAAACAACCACAAAATTTTTTACTAGATTATGCTTATAATTTTCGAGAATAAAGATTGAAAAAAATGAATCAACAGAACTAAAATCAATTAATCTGAGAAACTGGAGAAAAAAACGAAACAAATCAATTTCCTTGTACCTTATAACTTCGAAATTGCAGCACCTAAAATCTGATTTTCGAAATTACATCTGAAGAAACTTTTCGAATTTTGAAGAAGATTATAAGACTATGACTATTGTTTCTGATTTTCGAGAAGGAAGAAGGAAATCAAAACTTGTTGCTTGTTCTGATTTGCGAGAAAGGTGAAGAACCGAGAATGAAAAATCGAAGGCCTTTTAAAGTTGTAATTGACTGATTTTATGCAAACCTTGTGACCGTTGTTGCTGTCAAAAATCGGAGATGATTCAGTATCCATAATGAGAATCGAAGAGTTTTTCTTTTCCCCAAATTTCGTCTAACTCCCCGCTCCTGATTGATTGGTGCGTGCTGAGTCTTGAGGCAAAAAACGCAGACAAGAAATACTATTACCCTAATTTATATTTGGGCCTAAACTCAACCTAGTCTAATATATATACTAAAAAAATTTGGGGCCCTATGATTTAGTGGGCCCTGTTCATAGACACACTTTGAACTCCCTTTGGGCCGGCCCTACACTCCGTTTAGCCTTAGGCCATACTAGATACGCCCCTGGGGACAAATTGATCAGAAAGCAATAGAAATTAAAAAGGTGCTCTTCTACCTATAAATGATGATGTCTTCAACACGCAACTGCTCACCCACCCTCTTCCCACTCCATTTGAGAGGCCTTTTTCTAAAACATGGAGTTTGATTATAAATCTATTCACATAATAAATAAGAGATTACTTAAGCTTTTATTAATATAGAAAATGAATAAAAGCTTCACTCCGTTTTCAATAAAATAGACTTGATTTAATATAACTAACAAACTGGTTTGTATAATAGCTGTGAAAAGGATGTGTTGAATGGTTATAAACTTAAACTAATTCAAATAATGTCCATGATCATGCTATTATATATATATATATATATATATATA